TCCGCCAAGTCATTCATCCAATTCTGCTGCAATTTAGTGGAGAAACATTTTCCTCTCAAATTTGTTCATTCCTCCAATTTTTGTAGTGGAATTAGTTGAATTAGTTTTCCACTTTTTTTTAACTCAAATGGTGAAATTTTAGAGGAATGCTTTGTTCCATCAATTTTTATTCAACTAAAATGGTAAAATTTTGGCGGAATTCTTAATTCCACCAATTTTATTCCTCTAAACATACAACCATTCGCACCCACATCGGCGTTTGTAAAACATAGAGGGTCATATTGGTGACCACGTTTGAACAGAGCGGTTAAAAGTTTTTGAACGGTTGTATAGATGGTTGTTTAAAATAAGGCGGTTAAAAACAATGGTTAGAGAAAGCGGTTGGATAACAGAAAAAAATTCAAATATAAGCTTGATTGGTAACATTATAGTATTTGAATAGTATAATTAGATAAAATTATATAATAGAACCGCCCGTTTCAAGACGATTGATTGGTTTGTACCGATCAAGCGATTCAACCGCATTACTATACAAACGATGCAACCAATCTAACCTAGAGGTTTTGTATTTTACAACATCCAAACTACATCCGCGTTTGTAAAATGTCGATTGATGTATATTTAGAAGCGTGTGTGTGACAAGTTCGATTATAATCATCAAATTGCAAAATCACATAACATTATAATTAGTAAAAAAAATGTGTCAAACACATGAAACATATTACTGATCAATACATTGTTGTGCCAAGTCGCTAAACTCGGCGATGTTGGTGAACCTTGCAACTAGAACTAGACACGAAATGGATACCTTTAAATTTTGGGATACCTATTATCTGAAATAAATCTTACACGTAAGAAATTTTGAGTATCCGAATCCGACATAATCCTTACACTTAATTTACTTGTTACTCTGAAAATTGTACCTTAGAGCATCAGCATCTGTGATACCGATGCTATATCAGTTGAATAAACAAATATTAAAAACACACTCTCTTTTCCTTTTACTCCACTTTATACCTTCTCTTTCATCCTTTTACTCAACTTTTATTAATTTTATATTCTCTTTAAATATAAAATTATTAAAAATATTTGATACACTCTCTCTTTCTCTCTTCAAAAATATCAAAAGTATCAACTATTTGATACCCTCTCTCCAAAAATATCAATTATCTCTTCTCTTTATTCAAATTTTATTAATTTTATATTTCAATATACCCCACTATTTCAATCAAAAACACTCTCTTTCTTCCTTTAGCTCAAATTTTAATAATTTTATATTTAATGATACCCACATTGTATCACCATTACTCATGCTCTTAGAGCCTAGATTTCATGTAAGAGATCAATTTAAGACCAAGGAATAATTTACTTGTCAGATATAATTTTTAATCATCAATAATGACCAATGTGACCAGTGGTGGTGATACATTCCGATTTTAGTATCCATATCTGTAACAAGTCAAGTCAGAATTGTGTGTTAATTTAGTGAAAGGTTGATTTGAAGTTTGAAATTTGAACAATATTAATTGACATAGGAATATAAAATAAATCGTTGAATACAAAAGAAATAAAAATAATTATTATTTAAATGTCTTAAATTATTATGAAATCTTATTTTACATGTTTTGACCATACACTTTCCAAAAGTACTAAATTGCATTTCGCATCTTACGGAAACCGCAATCTAATTAAGAACACATAATGTTTCATTATAAATATAGAATTGAAGATGTAATGCCGTCAAAAGTTAAAAATATATAGAAGAAGGTATTCTTAGAATAGAAAAAACAAACGAAAGCGAAAATGGATTCTCTAAAACCATTCATAGTCCTCTTCATTATGACTAGTGCAACGATGTCTCGTGCCGAAAGGACCACAGTGGTGATAAATAATGATCTCGGAGGCGGTCTATCGCTACGATACCACTGTAAATCAGGGAATGATGATCTCGGGTATCGGAGTTTAGCACCAGGTGGATCATGGTCATTCGGATTTAGACCCGATATTTTGGCCGTACTCTATTTTTTTGCAGGTTTGGTTGGGAGAACCAGTCGCATTATTTTGATATCTATAAGCAGGGTAGAGACAAACAATATGAGAAGTTTGGATGCACAAATTGCCAGTGGAAGATACGCAAGAGTGGACCTTGCAAACATAATAAAAACACTAATGCGTTTGATGTTTGTTTTCCTTGGAATTCTTGATATTTTTTTAGAACAATTTTAATATCTCTATGTATAACCTTTTATTAATTGATAACACAACTAAGAATAATAAAGTGTACCTTTATCAAATAATTGTTTATCATAACCATAATATCAAATTTTCCAGAAAAATTGAAATGCATATAACATGATAGGGAAATTAATACAATAAATACTGTTACATTATAAGAACATATATAGCAAATCTATGAAAAGATATATTAAAATCAAACTTCAAATTGATGAGCATGTGAGTAAGCTCGGTACACGACATGTAATGTAAGCCCGAGTGAGCCCACATATAAACCAAGTTCGCCCATATGAAACAATTATCGATCTCTTTTGGGTTTCATAGTGATACATACGATGTTCCAGAGACAGTCATCACTACAAGTCGGATTGGGTCCATATATATTGCTATTATAGTCCTTGTAGAGAAGAGCCAAAAAGGGTTTTGTGAGGATTCGTACGTTGAGCTTCGTTTGTAATATTGGGGTCACTTTCATCTTTTATTGGGTTTGGTCATGATTAATATGAATCTTAGAGCAGCTCCAACGGTGTGGAGTTTCTCAAAACTATAATACTCTTTTTTCAGTATAAATAAAGTATTTAATTAAATACAAAAAACTGACCAATCATTAGTGTACATGTGGCACAAAGTTTCTGATATCCACCTTAAGAGTTTCTGTTTCTCAAACGAGAACTGTATCTTGTTCTCTCAGAGTTAGAGCTACTCTTATAATGGATCATAATTTACTTGCCTTAGAATTTTACATATGTCAAATTTTATATATTTTGATTTTTGACCAACATTTTCCATCAGACTAAAAGTGTATTTAACATGATACGTCGGAAATTTGTTCAACCATATAGAGTCGGACCACTCGAACCAATTATCACTTTGAAGAGCATATGGTCTTCTTTATATCGTGGCACCTGACTGAAAACAAGACGAGTATGGTCCTCAAGAAAAAAAGCTCACACTTTCACAATGATCATGGGCATGGCTATAAACAGAAGAATGCGTATCGAATTAAGCAAGGTTACCTAAAGTTCATTTTTAACATAGAAATATATGTAGATATATGCTCAAGAGGCAATCAAAGGCACCAACGGGAGGACAACACATATGATCACTATCACGAATGGCATTAACGTGGTCTACGTGAAGATAATGTTCGAGGAAACCTCATCATCTAAATCTTTCTATCAATTTTCTTTGCCTAAATATTTTTATCAATGAGTGGTGAAAGCACAAAGAAAACCATTCGAACTTTCAGTACTCCAAAATTTAACGAATCAAGGATAGTGCACAACAGTCCATTCGTCATAGACTTGAACAAATATCTCAAAGTCAATTGTGGTTAGACGTATATTAATGGATAAAGCTACAACTCGCTTAGAAAAACGCATCCTGAACATATTGCGTGAAGATTCATAATGGAGAAAACCTACAACCATAAATCTGATAAAAAAAATTTTTTTAAAGGTTTATTGAGATTTTGTGGTGAGATAAATAAAATAAATATCTAAAAACTCTTATGAATCTAAAAAACGGGTACAAAGATGGACTCAAATGAAATCAATTCTATAAATAATAAAATTG